GCCTGCATTTCGCGCACTCGACACGCACGATCTCCGCAGAGGGTTGCACTTTCGGTTGACGCTGTTCGTCCGACCCTCCGCCTTTAAGAGAGAATTTATAAAGTGGGGAAATGTTTTTTCATTAGGACATCTCCCGTGCATTTTCCATACTCACACTTGCCTGCTCATTGCATGCTCGCATACTCATTGCATGCTTGCATACTCATCACTTGCATATACTTACACTTGCATACTTTCACACTTGCATTGCATACTTTGCACTTCACTGCTTTCGCTCTTCCACTTACACAGGGCTACGTATAGCGTTCATGTTATCCTGCAAGTGTCTAAGCGTAATATAGCGTTCATGTTATCCTGCAAGTGTCTAAGTGTAAGTGTCGAAGTGTCAGTGTTCAAGGGATTTTCCGGAAGAACCCTTCGCAATGCTTTCGGGAATATATGTGTATGTCCTCAATAGCACATGTGCTTTGCTGTCAAATGGGTTGTTTTCGTATGGTAATTATTTATCGCTTTGTTGGCCGGGGACAAGGACTACCTCAGTTGGATCGCGACGCCATAGTGGGCCTGACTCACCAGCATCCGGCATACAGCATACAGCTGTTTTTACGTGATCGAACATATTTCACATGTATGTTCGATCATCGTTTTTGTGTGTCCATTACCCCAACCCCCCAAGCTTTCTGGCCAAGACGGCCAATGCGAAAGGCTTGCGCAGAAAGTGACCTGCAGCAGTGGGATGTTTGGTGATGACGACACTTCGAACCAGGCAACAAAGGCGGGATCGGGGTCGTCGCGAGAATAGGTTGGGAGGTAGCAAGGGCATGAAGAGGTAGAGTGATCAGTTCACTGAAATCGTTGAATTTGGCTATAACGATGAATACACTGCAGCAATAAGAAAGATGAATACACTGTAGCAATTTACACTCTAAGCATCTCAGATCTTATTTGTAAAGACTGAAAAGTCCTCTCCCAAATACATACTCCTACCGACCAAATAACTGGAAAAGAAGAAGACAAATGGACTCGAAAAGGGTGCCCTTTTGCAGAATTGTTGCTTTGATGTTTTTTAAGAGACAAACGGGCATTCATTTTCTTGTAAATTAAGAAACACGCAAAGGAATAGTGGTTCAAGTTGTGATAAGATTCCCGACTCTGGAACAATTCACAATCATGTCCAGGGCCAGTAGCTGATATCAGGACCACCTGTTTGAAAAAATGTAGTTATTTGACACCATGTTGCTGATTGAGTTTCAATGAGGAATCTGAATCCCAGTACCCAAAGATCGACTTACTTTAGGAAAGAACAAGCCATGGGAATGGAGCTGGTGGAGCTGGTTTCGGTGGTGCGGCTTTCAACATTATCAAAAATGCAGGTGCAACACATGTTTGGTGCAAGGAAACGATGCTCATCAAATGTTTCCCGAGTTGCCAGATGTAGATTCTTTGGGTAAGGAATTATATGTCCAAGATGGTGTTGATTTAAATATAAGAATAGGTTTATAGTCACCAGCAGTGACCTGGTGAGTTTCCATTCCCCTCGATATGCTGTGTAAATGAAGCAGTTGTTGAGGACACCTGTTTTCATAGTCCACTTTCCTAGCGCTGCCATGCTGGAGGATTTTCAGCTTGCAACTCGCATGTCATCTCAGTCTGTCTGGCCACGAGCAACAGCGGTGGCCCCGGAAACCTAATTCACTGGCACCCTTACCAAAAGAGTTGGATTGATGATCTTGAATTTGTTGTTGTTGAACATGTTGATATTTTGTTATAGCTATTGTTGTAATGGAGTTTCGTGCGTATTTGCTGAGGGAGGATTGTGTGTGTGTGGGCAAGAGCACAGAGAGGACCTTGTATACAGCTTTGCTACCCGTATGGTGCTGTTTTTCAATCGAATCAACCTGCAGGACACGGGAGCGTGAATGGATGTGAATACCCATGATAGTCCCGATTTAAACGATCCATACCCCGCCATGCTCCTCGCCATCCACCATGCCTCGCCCCCAAAGCGCCGACTCAGCTCATACCTGGACTGCTCCAACAAGTGGTGCCCCTGCCTCTTTCGGTGCCATGGAGAGAATCATCCAGCTCGGAAGAGGGAGACGGGGGTTTAGTCAAGAACCTGAAGAGGCATGGTCCACAATCATCGATTTGGCTGCTTTGGGCATTGGCCCCCTGTGGTCTCCGAGATCTTTCACGAGACGATGTCCAAAATTTGTTCAAATAGGCAATTCGTTCTACCTGCCCATCTCATTGTCACTAGAATCCAACACAGAGACAGATCAAATCCTGTCGGGGAGGTGATTCCTCCATTTGATGACAGTGTTTGGGAGACGGATGCGCATTTGTTGGTTGCATTGTTTGGAGAAAGAATCTTTCCCTGTGTCTTAGTGAATGCTCCTGTTCCAGTTCCGCATGGTGTGAATATGGTTGCACAAACAAGGACATGACACTTTCCCAGGTGTCCTTCTTCATTGCTTCATCAGATGTCAATTAGTTGCAGGTCAATGAACAGACAAAGAAATGCCCAAATCAAAATCACCGCGTGAACCAACTTCATAAAGTGCGATTGATTTCGTTCTGGTCCACTAATCTATTACATTTATATTATCATTGATTGTTTCTTTGAGAGATTGTGGCAACATTCATGTTGATCCACCGTTACTGGTAATGGGATATACATGCAATGGATGTGCCCTGCCCTTGCCAGCTGCCGTCTGTGGCGACTCCACGGAGATGAATGTGGCAGCCCATGTGCAGGTTGGATGCAGTCTACCTACGGAGCGGAGGGCATTTCGCATTTTTCACGCATCAAAACGCTCTCGCAAATAGGAGCAAGGGCGCTACGAACGGAGCTCCTGGCCTTACTACTAGGAGCAAGAAGCTACTAGGAGCACCTGCCTCTCGTTTCTTCAGACTTGACGTTTGGTTTGTACAGAGAAGGCAAACCAACTCCCAGCTTGGACTTGCTGGACGGAGATCTGCTCAAAATACCGCAGATCATTCCAAGGAGGGTCGGTTTTTTCATGTTCGGATGTTTTTTGTGTCATGTGGTTGCGATCAAAGAAGAATTCCTGACATTGCGAAGAAGTCACTCTCTATTTTTGGATTTCCTGTATGAAAACCTAAGAGGGCAAGAAACAAGAACTTGTTGAGGACCTTGAAACATCTTCAAAAAGTCCGCTTCCAAACATGTGCAAGCATTTGATAAAGGAAAAATGCGCGCGCACACACACACACACACAAAGGTCACATGATATAGTTCGAGATACCGACTACCTTCCCGCGAGACTTGAACTTTGCACTGTGTTTTCGAGAGGGCCAGTAGTCACTCTGAAGAGCCGGACCAGCAGGCTGGTGTTCTTGAAATTTCTTGATGATTTCATTGACATCTGTGGATACTCTGCATAAGGGAATCACTCCACACCCCAATCCCCTTCCAGTTGAACATGTTGTTCCTTGAGTTCAGGTGCTGCCTTTTGCCTTGCTTGCACCCTGCCCACCCGCCCCAGATGGGAGCTGTGGTGTAATGCACGAAGCCATGCGAAGCCTTAGGAGTCTATCGCGCCATTCCAATGGATGGTTGTTTAGCCACGACCCCTTGGAGTTGCCGCCAAAAGCCATGAGCGCTGCTTTAGGGAAGAGAGGGCTTGGGCTATGCCAAGTGTGATCCGTTTTTCTACTACCCAAGTGATTGGATTTATCGTGGATATCACATCATGTCACCGAGGAATTCCGGTGCTGTCAGGAAATGAGGTGGTGCCGGTCATGCCAAAAGACGTCCCGTACAAAAGGGCGGGTGCCGGCTGCGTTCACGACGGGTCATGGGTCTTGGTCTCGTCCGTGACGTTTCTGATTCAAAGAGGGTGTCGGCTTGGTGTTGGAGGAAAGAAGTGTCAGATGAGAGATCTCAGACGTCGGAAGACCCTGCTGTGCAACAGCATGTTGTGTTTATTAATATATGGTTGTCAACTGTTTACTGCAAAAGGTATGCTGTGGCTCAATATCGTTTTGAAGAAGGAAGGAGGATCCATACTCTGTTACTTGCCAGTTTCCCAGGTGTTAACACCACAAACTGAAAAGAGATTCTCCCGTACGAATGTAATCTCATAGCCAATTGGCTCTTAACTGGCCTGGACACTGCAATCTACAGGACAGGGTGGCACATCCTCTCTACCACCTGGCAAAGTACTGTCACGGAGAGCAGATTGCTTCGGAGATACTTTGCCCACGGCTACCCATCTGAGATGCAACAGCCAGATAGACCGTACCAACGGGCCCATAAACAGGCGCATCGTCCAGGAGCATGGGCCCGAACTGTTGAGTGGATCACCGGTGACCCCACTTACCTCAAAAAGACTGACGCCTTCTGTCAAAAGAGGAAAACGCTGGCTGCCCGAACAGGGCGAATGCGGGCTAAACGCGCTGCCTCTCCAGATGAAGAGGGTAGCTCCTCGTCATCGTCGTTCTCCGCCTCCCACAACAGTCAAGGTCAGAGCCAGAGACCGTGGCGCTCACAGCATCGCTAAGTAGAAAGAAGGGACGAAACGTCTACCCTAGAGTGGCTATACATATACACAGACACATATATACGCAGCCACACAAGCTGTTGGGCGAAGAAGATCATACTTTCTCGTTCCAAGTCATCCCCAACATATCCAGTTCAGATGCTTCCTTTTTGTAGGAGTAGGAGTAGTCGAGTTTTCGGGACGTGTCCAGTCGTTCCTACTTTTAAGACTAGCTCAGGCGACTTGCAAATTTCCTTGAAAACCTACACGCTCTTTCCCTTAAATCAGATCGATGGGAAATGCATGGGATCCGGGTCCTATGGAACACAAGTAGAACACGGACCAAATGTGGCTGCAAAATAAGCAACTACTCAAAATGCATGAGAGGCCAACTAGTGTGAGTATGGGCAAAAAAGGTTTGAAGTGTGTGGGTCAAGTTTGTTAAAGTATATATGCAAGTTATTGTTAAATGTAGATGTGTGTAGGTGCAGTTGGATTTTCTTTAGGTTCGCTTGGATATTTGAACAGTTTTTTGCTGCACAGCCGTTTGGGACACCATGGATGAAGGAGTGCCCTCCAAAGCAGGCTCCAGTTGACTTCTCCATGTCCGTTTCAAAACAGGCAACCGAGCCCGATCCGGCCGACCACTGACACCGAGGTCGATGATCCGGATGACGACCACTGGCTGTGACAGCGGAAGCGCCTTGGGTCCAAAAACACGGAAAACGTCGACCGGCGCAGCTGACTCTGAGAACATCGAGCTGGTGCAGCTGAAATCCAAGCCGGAGTCGAACACCCTAAAAAGAATGGTTTTTAGGTGACCCGGATTTTTGTGAGCATTCCTTTACTTCAAGGTGGCAAAAGATTGTGACTTATAATGGGAAAAACCGTTGAGCCTTTTGGAGAAGGTTATTGCAGTCCAGACAGGGAGAAGAGCCAAGTGCACAGCAGACGGATTGACCTCTTAGTGCCAAGATCGAAGTGGTTTGTTTTTGGGATGGTCGGATGGATAGTTGTTTTGTTTTGTGATGAATGTGATGGTATTTGGGGTAACCATGGGGTATTGGCAGGCCTGTTGCACCAGGGTTGTTGGTCACCGCCTGCAAAAAGAACATGCGTCCATTTCTTTAAATAACCCCTGTATCAGGATCAACCTTGTCGAGTATGCAGCATGTAGTTCATTCCGGAACCACTTGGAACACATTTTATGGGAATTTGTGAAAGTAGATGCTAGCCTTCAGTGGCGGGTAGAGCCAGCACATGGTTCGTGGTTCTAATGTTTTGCTCCTGCCGACACTCCACCAAAGGTGGCGCCACTCAAGCTGGTGCACTTCTTTCTTTGATCGTCGCTGCTGCTTACGCTCTGAAGTTCTGATTCGAGTGATTAATTGGTATGGTTTAAGTCTTCCCATTGAAAATATATGAAAGAACTATGCAAGGAATTGCGATCCTGCCTCTCAGCCTTTTGAGGATTGCGTGAGACAGAATGAGGAGGATTTCTGTCAGTTGGGAGTTTCAAGTTAAGTTTCAGGTAATTACATCATATGAAGCGAAGTAGGTCACACTGTGTGGTTGATGCGAAGTCCTTCCGCAAATCCACTGACTTCACGATTTCCAAGAGCTGGAGGTGCTTGGTTCGAAGTAGCCAGGCCTCTCCGTGACGTCGGATGCACTGTTGACTCCGTGACGTAGCGGAGCAAAAGAAGGAGAGTTGGATCAGGAGATGTTCGTTTTGGGCTTCTAGCTCACGAAAGGAAAGGTGGTTTTAGTTCTTTTGCTTCTGCAGTTATGCCCTTTTGTGTGCTGGATGCCCATTTGTGTGGTTGTGCCTTTTTCTACATTCCAAGCTAGCTGAATCATGTTCACTAGAAAGCTGTCTAGCTGAGCTACCAAGCTCAGAATCGAATTGCTGCAGCACTGCCTTTTTGTAAGGCAGCGGCAAACAGTTACTGCACTTTTTTGTGCGATAGAAGCAACATCAATGACCCACTCCTACAAGACTTCGTGGAGATTCAGACGATGTAGTCGTTTGATTTTTGTCCTCAACTTTTGCAATTTGAAAGAAGATTCATCAGCCACGACTGACTGGTAGTAGGTTCATGTCATTATCAGTTTAAATTCCGCTTGAAACCACAAACCCCTCTATCCTGAGCCTGGAGCTCCAGGCAGGAGTACAGATCCATAATTCTGGAGCAGATAGTGGCTGTTGGCTTTCAGGAGTTTGAAGCCATGAGCTGCTGCAGCTATTTGATCGCTCGAGGCAACAGAACCTGGTCATTCCAGCATCAGAAGTGTGAGCCATGAACAGCATCGCAACCGTGGTGTTTGCCGCAATGCTCGGTGCAGCGACTTGGGCGTCAAGACATGGCAATAGAACAAAGGGGAGGTCCCTAACAGATCGATGATGCTGTGACCAGACGGCTACTAGGAATCCTCCTCACTCCTGGACTCCTAGGCAGCGGCGTACCCATCAAGCTGGTCCTGCAACTTTGCTTGCATGGCGGCGAAGCAGCCTGGCGGAGCCTTCGGAAAAATGGGCATCGCCGAATTCAGTCGCTTCCTGAGATCTTGCAAGTCCCAGTTCAGGTGGCAAGTGGTTCGTGTGTACCTGCAGGCTCTTTGAGTCCGCACTCAATGATTGTCTCATCCTATGCACTCATGTGGATTGATGCTGGAGCTTTGTGTTCGATGCTGGATTCATTCTGGATTCATCACGAAAAGGTTTGTCAAGTTATTATCATGTGTTTGATGTTTTTGATGTGGTGGTCGGTCAGACATGTTTGCAAATCACGTTCTTTTCATATCATCATACACTGAAAACACTGTGTATCGGACCTACACACAGCATATGCACAAACTCATCATGTCCGCCTGGCACCTGCAGATAATGGCACTGACGCCTGCGTGATTACTACGGACATCCCAGCCGCCACTTGGCTCGTCCGACTCTTCTTCCAAATCCATTTCACCGTTCTTCTCGGGGCTGAAATCGGATGTAGTTCAGCCGAAAACAACAAACATTATCAAACATGATATATATATGTAGTTTTGGACTCCAATCAGTGGCAAGAGCTAGCTCGCAACATGTTTTTTTTGATGTTTTCCAAAAGTATCCGAAAGTAATGCGTATCGTTCAAGCTTTTCTGCAATGAAAGGCTCTCTCTCTCTCTTTTCGTCCAACAAGTGCGCTGTTCTTTGCACGCCACTCCTCAACATCCCAGGCTGGATACACTGGTGGAGAAAACTACACTGCACCTGATCTGGACGATGTCATCGTCGGCTTGAGTGATTCACCAAGTTTCGTTGAGGTTTTGCGATCGAAACTGAAAGGAGCCACACCAAAACCAGCGGGGGATGTGAATGGAAACACACACAATTCACCACTGCTTCTGGCTTTGGGTTCCCACATTTTTCAGCAAGTAACTAAACTGGGCATTGAAGTGAGTTCTCTGAGTTTCCCCGGATGCTGCATGCGAAGCCTGCACTTCAGCACCGGAGCATGGGACCGTCCCAAAAAACACGCCAATATGCGCTTTGTCGACGTTGACAAGCGCTCTGTCAATTCTTTTGTGCTGCACGTCCAGCGAAGACACCAAGAACATATACAACACAATTGAAAAAGGACACCTGGTGGAACGGAACACATGAAAATGGGTCAATAGCTGTGCTACTCTTGGTTTTATGTTAGTTTGGAGAAAATGTCAACCTGGCCTGAAATTAAAGACGTACTATTTTATATTGTTTGGATTGAACCTTAGTGTTCGCTCTCAGCTTACGCATTGAATAGGCAAAGTAACATTGAAGAGGATGACTTTCTTGAGAAAATACGTGACCTCAGATTCATCATGATGCACGATTCGAAAAGTGGCTGCTCACAGTTTTCGGCCCTTTCTGGACACAGAACCACAGCAACCTGAGCGCCTCATCAATTGGATTTCAACTGAGGTGACTGTGACATCTACTGGCACGTGCCTTGACAGGTCACGGGAAGATCCAGTATGACCATGTCATAAGGGAAGAACTCCCCGCAGCACGTTGAGAATGGCAGGTGCAACTGGTAGATGGCTGATGGCTGTGGGTCAAAACCAGGCTACCTAGGTTGACCAGAGAAAATGAATAGAATAATGGACTATGGACTACTAAGGAGATCAACCTACCCTGGTTTGGGGCATCCGGGTTTTGACCCACAGCCAGATGTTGTTTTTCATTGGAAACAAACAACTTTAATACCCTTACCCTGCCTTTTCCCTTCGCAGTCAGGATTGACAATTCCCAAGATGTTTCGCTGTAGTTTGTAACCCATTGGCAATTGGCCATTGGAGGTTCACCCAAGTTGCCCAGTTTGGACGGAGAAGGGCCGGTGCCGATTGTCTTCAAACACCACACAGCTACCGGGTAGCCCACACAGCAACATGGAATCAAGGTGTCAAAAAAAAAAATATATATATATATATATCAGTATATGGTTGTCGATCTAAAGGTCCTAGACAGCATTCTGTATGACGATGACCCGGAACATATCAAAATCTTATTTGGCGAAAGTTTTTTCTCGAGTTCGCGAAAGTTTCTTTTTTGGGGCGAAAGATCTGGCGAAAGATGAAATATGTACTTTTGTATGAATGTTCATTTGCTTCCTGAACAGCTAGTGGCAGTGACTCAGAAGTTAGATGAGCTGTGGAAGTTAGATAACCTACTGCTGCTGCTGCGGCTCCTCCTACTACTACTACTACTACTACTACGACTACTACTACTACTACTACTACTACTGCTATTCCTGCTCCTGCTTTGGGGGGGTGGCTTTGCCAAGAAACTCTACCCCGCAAAAGGCGAAAGTTCAGCTCAAGATTGGCGAAAGTTCACCCTGCCACATCTGACCCCCAGCCCATTATGAGTAAGTTTGAGTGACCGGCTACCACAGTGATTCTTGCAATTTTGATTCTTGCTGACACCCAGGAGAAACAAAAGAGACGTACAGGGCGTCAACAGTTGAGTAGAACACGCATGCTGACAAACAGTGAAGTTTCTATTTTTTGTTTGCCCGTAAAGAAGAAGCCATTGACGTGAACAAAACACAACATACATGGCACACATAAATACAACGTACTTCGGCGAAAGATAAAACGCAGGAAGGCGAAAATTTGGCTAAAGTAAATCTTTGTTGGCGAAAATGACGGATCCCAAATAAAGGAATTTAGATCAACTCCCATATATATATATACACACATTATACATTGATAGACATCCGCATATTTGCCAGAAACTTGATTTGCTATTGCTCCGTGTCACATTTACGGCACTCCTCACTAGCTTGAATGCTTGAAACAACCACTCAAAACGTGAATTTACCACAGAACCACAAAGCCGTCTCGGGAATGTATACATTCAAAACCATCAGTATTTTGCTACACAATCAATGAAGATATGCTTGGAAGGAGCGGAAATATGGTCAGTTGACTTCCTCACTCTGCTGGGAAGTTAACTTCTCCAGAGTCTGAGTGGGACCCACATGAAAGCTCCTCCCGCTCAGGTTTGCGCAGAAAGTGACCTGCAGCTCTGGGATGTTTGACGATGACGACACGTCGAACCAGGTAACAAAGGCTGGGTCAGACGGTCAGAGTAGGTCGTGCAAGTTATAGCCAGGACTTGGGCGTGAAAAAGGCTGCAGTATGTGAAGAGGCCACAGAAACATCCAGGAGTTGA